AAGCAGCTCCAGACCCCCGCGGGCACACAGCGGAAAAGTTTCCCGTTAAAGCACCTGGAGGGTGACAATGGTTGAAAACGGGGGGGGGGGGGGGTTACCCCAATAATTTATATGACAAGGAAGGAAAAAATGCGTTTTCTCACTGCTCCTTCGTGATCTATCACCGTTGAACAGCCGGTAGCCCCGGGATGGTGACGGGCAGCAGCGTGAGGTGGGTTTTCCCTCCGAGGGAAGGGTGTCAGGGGACAGGGACTGAGATGTCAGCGAGGCTGCTCACTGCCAACCCCCCCCCCCCCAGCGGGGGGGTCCGGGGGCGACCCACAAACCCTAACTGCCGAAATTAGGGTTTGTAGACAGGCTGTGGCAGTTACGGTCACTCCACAAACTCCTGACACTTCTCATTTTACCCCGTTCCGCTCGTATCCCTGTCTTATGGATAGGCTGAGCTTCGGGTGAGCCTTAGAAAGCTTCAAGCATCTCACTTCGGCTCCCTCCTCCTAATCAACACCCACAGAAAAATCACGCTTTAAACCCCCCCACTGCCTTCCCTGGAGTCTCGTCGTGTGTGTGTGTGTCCCCCAGCAGCAGCTGAAGTACAGCTCTCGTCCCCTGGATGGCACTCGCCGAATAGCTTCGTGCCCTAACCAGCTCTTTCCGATCCCAGTCCCCAGCAGGGACACGCCGCCCACCCGGTACCGACCCCCCGCCTCCCCGGTGCTCGGGGGCCGGGATCGTTGCTCTCAGGGTGCAGAGGGAGAGAGAAGGCGGCTGCAGCCCCCGCCAGCCCCCCCCACCCGCAGCGGGCACCGAGAGGTTTGACCAGTTGTACTTTTCCTCTTCTCCTGGTGAGGGCAGCCAGTTCTGCTCAAAAGTGGTGGGTTTCCCCCAGCAGACAGCGGGGACGTTTAAACCGCGGCGGTTCCGCCGGTGCTGCGGTGGGTAAACTCTTCTATTCCCTTGGTAATCGGACCCCGGCAGTGGCAGGCTCGGAAGTCGGCCGTAAAATTTTGGAATATCACAGAAAATTTGAGTCTTGCAACACTGAACCTCTTTCTTCCCCCAGCCCCGAAACTCTAAAAATCAATTTGGAAATTATACTAGGAAGGCAAAAAAAAAAAAAAAAGTAGTTTTTGTGTCATAACTCAAAAGCAGCTTCACTTTTTCAAATCCAAAACTTCTATTTTCTTTCTTTTCTCTGGATCCCGTAAGTTTGAGAGGAAGTGGCGGTATCTTTGCTTAGAAGTGACATCGGGGTGAAGATTTCCTCACCCAGCTGCACCCCAGAAAGGGCTGGACAGACATAGGCAGGGCAAACCTCCTCAGGATGGAGGCAGCTGCACTGCTGGGAGGGAGAGGAGGCAGCCCTGCATCTTCCTCATCCTTCCAAACTGTTTCTGCCTTTCTTAGAAAAGTGTGCTATTAAGTATATTTTTAGGTGATACATGAAGATGAACCAGAAGAATATGTAATTATATGACATTTAAGGCATGCTAGGGCATAATTGTAGGGACTGGGTTGATACTACTTATTTTCACGATGCCTTTACATTCCTTACATTGAAATAGGTATAAACCACCAGTCAGTGCCGTAAATCCCAGGTCTATGAATATAACACTGGGGTAATCCTATGAAGGGCAGCTCCTCTCCTGTAGTGTGTATGTTGCAGGTAGATTATATGCGGTCATTAAGATTATGTTGATTTATGTGGGAGTTTTGCCTGTCTGGACGGGAGCATTCGGCTGAGCGCTGTCTGTCCCTAGAGCTCAGTTGATGTCTTCTCCCCTCGGGTCCAGCAGTTTGCTCAGCCCCAGCTTTAAGGCTTGAGTTTTTTCTCAGCATAACTGTTGCAGAGCATCCTGGCAGTGGGAATTCTGAGCAGTTGTAAATCATGGGGAGGTTTAATAAGACCCAATCTGGGTTTCTGTTGTCTGGCCAGGTGAAACTAAAATTTGAGCAAGTTTTGAGAAAAAGTAGTGTTAAATTTTAGCATTCTGACAACTTCCATTCTCTGAGGGCTCCTTGTAGGAGGGTATCCTTCACTGTAAGCCAGCCAGTAGGGATGTAAAGAGATCTGCATCCACCTGATGCAATCCTTTAGCACGAAGTAACTGGGCTATTAACAGGGATACTTTTACTCTTGGAACCATCGGTAATTTCACCTCATGGTAAGTCATATTTTAAAGTTTGTGCAGTAAATTACTGACACCCTGCCAACTGCCTGCCCACACTGCATCACGCCCCACTGAATGCTGAATTTACCAGGGTGTCCTCCGCTGCCAGGAGGTGATGGTGACAGGATGGCAGTTTACTGGATAACCGCTGGCACTCGGCCAGTCCCGCTTGCTGGTGCACGCACCAGTAGTGGCATACTCACAGCGTCAGCCCTCTGCCATGTCTCCTCTTCATGCTTCCAACTGCAGTCTGGGATCTCTTCCCCCTACTTCCCAGGAGAGCTCTGGGGATCAGGCATTTTGGAGAGAGCTGCCCAAGGGGATGGCCAGCAGCTCCCAACCCTCATGCTGTGCAGTGTCACTTGAAAACCAAGGACACAAAGATGGTTTAGAAGAAAGGGACAAAAGGTTTTGAGACAAATGCTGCTTGGACAAGTGCTTCTGGCAGCTGTGGGAGGGCACTGAGGAATGCACGGCTCCAGCAGCTACGATTAAGGTTCACCAGACAGCAAATACACAAGAACCTGAGGCCCAGCAGTGATGGATGGGACACTTAGTCCCTGCTCTTCCTCCAACTAGCCCTCAGTCCCCAAAACCCTAGTGTAAGTGTGACAGACCTCCTATACTTTGCAGCAGCTAACAACAGGATCCCCTACTTTCTCTCCCAGTTCTCTAGTATCTTCTAAATGAGGCACCGTGTATCCAAACGGAGACCACTGCACAGCCAACTGCCCGCATTTCTGGCTGACCCTCCCGCCTCAGCTCTGCCCAGCCCCATACCCCACCATGATGTGTCTACACATGCTGGCTATCACAGATTAAAACCATCATCTTTTCACATAAAGATTTCTAGGGATGAATGCTCTATTTTTTCTCTGGTAGAATGTATTATGTGTTTTAATTAATCAAGGAATTAATTTAGTTTATCAATATATATTTGCTTGCAGCATAAAACTGAGGCAAATATTTCATCTACTGATGCCAGTAAAAATCTGAGCAAAGCATTTTTGGTTTGTTTGTTTTTACCAGTAAAAGCCTTAGCCAAGCACTTTTTTCAGTACAAACTTACTGAAAACTACTGTGTTACAAAAATAAGCCAGCTCTGGGCAGGAAAAAAGACTTCTCCACGTTTAACCCTCAGCATGCCTGACATGCACTCCAGAAAAAGTGGCCCACACCAGTTTGGTTACATTTATATTAACATCTTTTAGATAATATGCCATAATTAAGTTCAACATATCGCTGCCAAAGTCATTGTGTCACCAGCCTGGAGTTGGACATATCCCTGGTGTGCGAAGGTAGATGGGAAGTCCCAGCTGCCAGACCCACGTGCCAAAGCATCCTCTTACTTGTTCAAGTGCGGCCAGGGGACACGCAGAAAGCAGGGAACTGCTCTCCATGAAACACCTTCAGAGCTGAGAGGCATCCAACTCACCCTCAGAGCCCCAACCGCAGCTCTCAACATTAAAAAGTTGTTTCACAACTGGCAGTTCGGAGGACGAGGAGGATGGTGACGGTACTTTGCTGGCAGGAAAAGGCTGGTGCCAGGTCTCAATCCCAGTCATCCAGGCTGCAGGAGAACCAGATTTAACAAACAGAAGTTTTCAGCACTGCTGGAATGCACAATATTTGTTTTAAAAGCTTATTATTTACATGACAACTGATGCCAGGCTTTTTTTTATAGGTCTGAATGCCAGGCTGTTTGGGGTTCATCTTCCCAAGCTTTTCTCTCCAGCCTTGAAGGCTGCAATTTTTTCTTTTTTCCAAATAAGATCGAACAAAATCCACAGGACTCAGGCAATAAAATTCCAGCAGGTACAGTCTCCAGAAGAATATATGATCCAAAAACTCAGAAAACCCACAGAAATCAGCACACCGATAGCCTTGGTTTTGGCAATCCCAGCAGAAGAAGGATTAGCTAGGCCAGGGAGGCTGAGCTGCCTTTTTTAGTGGAGGAAGGGGACACACGGGAGCCTGCTCCATGCCCAGGGAGAGCAGCTCGGTGTGGGTGACAGCAGGGCACCAGCCAGGTGGCTGTGGGACTCCACTGACTACGCGGGTACCAAGTAAAGGCAGAAATCACTCACCATGTTTTTCTTTTTCTTTCATGCCTATTGAACCTTAACATGAAGTATTTCTGAGCCATCTGACTTGTCACAGAGCAAGGCACTGCTGAGAGTTGTTGCAAATTCATTTTGGTTTCTGGAATGATCCATAGGAAGGACAGCTAAGAAAAGCAAGTAGGGGCATTTTATCAAACTAAAATTGTGTCACATCGTGGGGAAAAAAAAAAAGCTCTAATTATGCAAGAGACAAACACGGACAAATGGATGGTGTGAAAAAGAATATTACAACTTTGAGTTGTAAAGTGCGTGCATCACAAACATCTCTTGCAACAGCAGTTACTGAAAGGGCAGGTTTTCCATCACTCTGGAGTTGAAGCTTTTATTAATAGACCTGCATTGTGGCTGTAACAGGGCTTTTACATCTGAATGTTGTGCTCAATCTTTGAGCCTTTAACCCTCACCTTCCTTTTTTTTTTTTTTTGTTTTGTTTATTTTTAAAACCTTCTCTCCAAATCCACTCATCTTTTTAGCTCTCCTGGCACCAGTATAGCGAGGAGCCAAGGTGATCCTGGAACGATGCTCCCATCTCTCCAAGCCCTTTCTCAGGGCAGAGCCAGGAGGCAC